CCCTTGAAATTGCTGCTGCTATGGGGCAGCCATGATGCTTCAGTATAAAGTTCCCATCTCTTATAAAGGCAGCTACCTGGCTGGGCGTGGTGGCTCAAGCCTGTAATCCCAGCTCTCTGGGAGGCCGAGGCGGGTGGATCACGAGGTCAAGAGATCGAGACCATCCTGGTCAACATGGTGAAACCCCGTCTCTACTAAAAATACAAAAAATTAGCTGGACGTGGTGGCATGTGCCTGTAATCCCAGCTACTCGGGAGGCTGAGGCAGGAGAATTGCCTGAACCCAGGAGGTTGCGGTGAGCCGAGATCGCGCCATTGCACTCCAGCCTGGGTAACAAGAGCAAAACTCTGTCTCAAAGAAAAAAAAAAAGGCAGCTGCCTGTGTTAGGTTACTTGTGTGCATTTTCAGGGTGGGCACTCCTAGTCTAAAAGAAAAATATGTTTGCATTTTCTTTATGGGAGTGATTCAGAGGCTGTTGCGTAAGTCATGGTTGAAGGCACATGGCGTGTTCATTGCATGCCATGGGAAGACTCCTTGGGTACTTGTCAATGACTATTATGCATCTCCCGAGGGCCATGGTACGATTCCTATTTCGTTTGTTTCGTTTACTCTTTAAATACAGTATAAGAGAAGGGAGAGTGAGGCCCTGCAAAACGGGACAAAGAGTGGGGCCATGAGTCTAAAAGATCTTAGAAGTATTTGTGTCGCTACAATGTGCATCTTATTTCAGGGAATCCCACAGACAGCTTTCCAGAAGTGGGCATTTCCTCTGGAGCAACCCACAAACGTTTCCTGGCCCCTGGGGCCTGCAGTCCCCTCTCTCCCTGACAAACCACTGCCACAGTTTCAAAGTGATTCAACTGGCGTCCCCGCAATGCCTTCTAATTCTGACTTTCACAATAGCAGGGAGTAGAAGACACTGACAAATGAGCTATTCTTGAACCAGAAGTTGGCCCAACTGTCAGGCGTAATAGCAGCCGGGTAGCATTTGTGGGATAGCCTGCTCATGAAAGATGACTTTATAATTGCCTTCCAGATCCCAAGGATAAGAGAGTATGTTGAAATCAGCATAACCCTCTTAGGCTTTCAAAACCCAACCTCAAGAGGCCAAGAGATGTGTTGGCAGCATGAGCACTTGGCTGTTTGTATGGTGATCATCTCCCCCATTTACCCAAATATGTTCTGGGCATTCTGTTTACCTCTCACATTGTCTGTCTGTGCGCTTTAACAGATCAGATGGCACCTATTCGTATGTTGTGGCCGCTTTCCAGAGGGACTCATTACCGCCTTTACTGCTCATAAAATCCTTTGGTGTTTAATCCTCTCAGCACTTTGCTTTGTTTCATGCCATCTGTCAGTGGGCTTTTGTGCCCTGTGGGTCAGTATATCAACACTTCACTTTTCCTTTCCTGAAGACAGCTCCTGTTTCTGAAGTCCTTTCACTGGGGAAGGCTGTTGGAACAATTTTCACAGGACAAGTAGGCAAACCGAAGGAAAACAATAAATAAATCCGCTGCATTCGGCTCAGTACAGTTGAATTTATAGCCTGACGCAGGGTGCTTCCCTGGACCAGAGTTTCACATTCTTATCTTGGAAACATCTGCTTTCTGCGATTTGTGATACAAAGCAAAGGTGATTGTGGAAACCCATCCAATGTTGGGAAGGTGGAATACTCTCAGTAAGATGATGGTGGCTTCTCACATTTGCTTTTTCTATAAATACGTAGGTATTTGTAGGATGTTTTTAACTTCGGGGCAAGGGCCACTGGGGAAAAAGTAAGATTCTCAGCTTTTCTTGATAATTCTCAAACACTTTCATTCTTCCAATGCAATTAAGTTACTTTGGCGTTTTCAATCGGAGAGTTTCTGAAGGGAAGTCTGGGGTAGATTTGTCATTGAATCCAGTCAGCAGGCAGAACGCGGGGACTTATTGTGACCTTGATCTGATGACCAGGTACGCATGTTTCTATTTGTGCACTGCAGCTTTCCTTAGTTTAGTGTTAGATATGATAGGGCACAGTTTATGTGTCTTGCATTTTTCAAACTTCTGTCTCAATGTTCGAACTGTCAGTGACATTAGGAGCAACGCACAGTAGTTCAGCACTGTTGGAACGTGGTCAGCAGTTACTGAGTCCCAAAGCGCAGTCTGTGGGCCCTACTGCATCAGAAGTACCTGGAGCGTTTCAAGGAAATGCAATTTGCAACACTCACTTCAGACCGACTGATTGAAAATATTGGATCTATGTGTTTAATAATCACTTCCAGTTTTTCTAACTCACATCAAAGTTTGAAAAGTGCTTTTATAGAGGGTCAAACAGTAACTCTAAATGGGATCAGCCACAAAAATATTTCGTTATTCCTTGTTTAGAAGAATGTACTGTATATTGTTAAACTATACTAGGAAGGATATTCTTGCTTATCTATGAAAACAGTTTATGTGGAAGAATATAATGAAAAGAATTAGGCTGAGCATGGTGGCTCATGCTTGTAATCCCAGTGTTTTGGGAGACGGAGGCTGAAGGATCACTTAAGGCCAGGAATTTGAGACCAGCCTGGGCTGGTATAGTGAGACCCCATCTCTACAAACAAATGAGAAAAAAAATTAGCCAAGCGCTGCGGCACATGCCTATGATCCTAGCTACTTAAAAGGATGAGGTGGGAGGATGACTTGAGCTCAGGAGTTTGGGACTGCAGTGAAGTCTGATAGTGCCATTGCACTCCAGCCTGGGTGAGAAGAGTAAGACACTGTTTTAAGAAAAAAAGAAAGAAAGGAGATAAAAGCCTGTAGAGGCTTTTCTACCCAAATCTCATTAGTCTGAATAAACCAGTTGGCCATGTTCTCATTTCATGTGTTGTTTACTTTTATCTCCATGCAGTTCTGCTCATTTAGTATTTTAAGTAAACCCTTAAGAAAAGTAACAACAACCATCTCCTCTATATTATCTAGAGGGCTGGATCAATGCGAGAATCAGAATAAACTGAAAATTAACCAGCAAACCCTTTTTGTTTTAATCCTAGCGGTTAAGCATTTTCTCCAAAGCATTAATCTAGGAACTTTAACTGGGGATTTTGTGATGTCTCAAGATCACCTTTTGGAGATAATACAAATTCTCATGTAACTCCAGGACTCAAGTTACAGGTGAAGAAAATGTCTGTGTAACTTCTGGCGAAGAGTATGTTCTCCCTATTTAGATAAGTGTACAACGTGAAATACAATTTGATAAAGACTTAATAACTAAATAGTTCAATGAATCGAGACTTCACTGTCTAAGGTTCTAGACCAAAGGCTAAACACTCAGTGTCTGGACAAAGGAGACAGTGGCTTTTATCACAGGCATATTATTCTGCCACGAAAGCTGTCCTTGCATCTGTTGGCATAACACCACAGAAAGTAAAACAGGCTCCCGGAATGGAGTTATTTCCATCCCCTCCCACATAGTATTCCCTTTGGAGCAAGCAATTTGTCTACACTCAACTTTTCCCTGTTGATTTTCTGAATCAGACAGACTTTCCCCAACCCCCTAGAGCTATTAGTCTTGTTAATCTTTGCCCTTCACAAATGAATCTTTTGTGCTGCTTGTTACTGGACTTGGATTGCTGTCTTTCCTTTCCTTTCATTCTTTTAAAATTTTTTTTTCTCAAGTGAACAATAAGAGCAAACAGCTCAGGATGAAGGAGGGCGGTGAGGAACGATGACCTCTGGTTGGTCAATCTTGATGACACAGTTTATGGGTTTGGAGGATTCTGTTGTCAAGGGACACAGGGAAGGGTTACCTCGTAAGAAAATAATGTGGTCATGTGATGAAGAGCTAAGGATGAGAGAAACTGCAGTGTTTCTGCTGCTGAACAATGACAAAGTTCACTGGTGTTCTCAGGTGCAAGGGAGAGAATAGGCCCTCATTGTGAGGCAGCGTCAGCCCTGCCTTTGTTTCTGTTTCCCTTGCTGAGGCATTAACACTGTCTTGTCAGTCTGTAGGCAGGTTGGCATGGGATATAACACTGATGGATATTTAGTCAGTCAGTGCATCAGAATGGCTTGTCTTTGTTGATATAGGTCTTTGTACACTCCTCGACTAGGTATATAAGTAAATGACAGCTTTACCAGATCACAAAGTCTCATGAGGAAGCTTAACCCTTCTTCGACTAGTTATATCTGTTTGCGTATTTGATATCATGGTATGGTGAAAGCTAATAAGGCTTGAAAATTAAACGTGAAAAGCTATGAACACTGGCTTTTAAATATTTGTTTTTTTCCCCTAATTCCTGGTGAAATTTTCTTTTCTGTTTTTTAAAGATATTATTAATATACGTAGTGCACTATAGTCTATAGCTTAATTAATTTTTATAATACATGACTAATGTAACCATCATCCAAATTAGGATATGGACCATTTCTAGCAGCCCAAAAGGCTCCCTGCTGCCCCTTCTCTATCAATACCCAAACCTACCCCCAAGAAGCACTATTCTAATTTCTATTCCCGTTGATATATTTTTCCTGTTCTTGAAATTCACATAAATGGAATAATACAGAATTTATTCATTTGGGTCTGGTTTCTTTCATTCAGTTATGTCCATGAGATCCATCCATACTGTCCCATTCTTTTTTATGGTTGTGTAATATTTCATCATGTGAATATACTACAATTTATCCATTCTACTGTTTATGAGCATCAGATTGTTTCCAGTTTGCAGCCCCAGTGAAAATTTTATACGAGTCTTTGGTGTATATATACTGTCATTTCTGGTGCATATGCCCAGGACTTTCAGAAGTATATATGCTGTCTGGTGGGCAGATATGTTTAGCTTTAGGAGATACTGCTTAACAGTTTGATAGTATTTTTTAAAAGTCGTTAATGTAAATTTAATCTAGACAAAATAAAAAATGATTAAAAATGTTTAGATTCATACAATATTAAACTAGAAGTAAACACCTCTTTGGGTTGATATTTATTTTCCTTCAATCTCAAAAATAATGGCTAACAAAATTAGATGATGATTGAATGGCATTCTTCATAAATAGTTGTCCATCTGATTGAAAGAACGATAACCAGAAAGGAGATTAAAATTGTTTATGAATCAAATTCAGCAGCACATTTTCAGCTTAGCTGTATTCATGAATCTTAAGCTGTGGGTCAAGTTATGAGACATTGCTACTTCCTGAAACTGCAGGCAGAAACCCTACTAAGGTTCAGACATCTCCACATCTTTCAAGGTAAAGAAAATGAGAGCAGGGCAGATTTATTTGGGGTAAGTGAGACTTTGGAAACCGAAACATTTTTCCAACTTGGAAACAATTACAATGTTTTTGTGAAACTCACAGACCCTGTTCCCAAATAAGAACACAAAGCCTGATGTTGGAAGACCAGTATCAAGGAAGAAGGAAAGATGCTCTTCTCCTGTTTTAGATATAATTTCATGTTCATTGTCCCATGGAATAAGTTTTAACTTCTTTTATAAATGAAACATTCAGTTTCACCAGAGTGCGTTTCTACAAATCCATGAAGTCAATAGAGTATTGATTTTTGGTTCAACGTGAAACCCTTGACTCTATATCTCTTTTTATGTTAGAGACTATGGGAAATACAGAAGGAGGAAGGATAGATTCTGCTTGGAGGAAGGAAGAAACTCATGAAACTATTATGGATTTGGGCTCCGCTGTTCAGTGCTGATGACGAGAGACAGGTATCAGGGAAAGGGGAGATCAGCATGGACTAGAGGACTCAAGTGGGCTTGTGGAAGAGGTCAGGCTTAAGGCCAGTATCGGAGAGGTTAAATTAAGTTTAGCTTAAAGTTACCTCCTGTAAGGTATTTTAAGTTTGGCCTAAAGGTTGCTCTGTATATAGTGAATGGTAACCTAACTGGATGTGTTACTTACTCTTGTACCTACTGTAACCTCTTGTACCAATCACTGTGTCGGCAAATCACAGGCAGCCAACTGCTCAAACCATATTCAAATAAGGCAAACACTGAGCTGTAACCAAACCAGCCATTTCTGTACCATCAATTTTCTGTACATCACTTTCCTTTTTCTGTCCACAAGTCCTCTCTGACCATGTAGCAGCATCAGAGTTGACCAGAAACCATTCTGGTTTGGGGGCTGTCCAATTCACGGATTATTCTTTGCTTAATCAAACTCTGTTATGTTTAATTTTGAATTTAACTTAAAACATCTAAAGTTTTTCTTTTAACAAAATGTACAGGGAAGAGACAAAATTTTGAGTAAATATCAATTTATCAAAATATTGAATGTCAGTATTCTGTATACTGTCTTCATGTATGCAAAATATGTGGGAAAAGAGAGAAAAGGAAATCTATTTGGAAGAGGCTTGTGGAGAAAGGGGGGTAAAATAATCTTTGGCAAAAGTGTAGGAGAGAACATTTGGGAACATTTCAAAGAAAGAATCTTTTTCCCACAAGTGAACCAGCTATGAATGTGTACCTGTTACAGGTAAGTTTCAGGTGGCTCGTTTTAAAGTGGGGCTGCTTTAGAACAGTAAGAATAATGCAGTGTTTCACAAGTTCTATTATTGTACGCAGGCTTGGAAATGCAGACTCCCAGGCCACACCCCAAGATAATATAGTATCAGTCAACTATTGCTACATAACAAACCAGACCAAAACTCGCTAGCATACAATAAATATTTATTCACACATTGAAGGTTATGAAGGTTTAGCTCAGGTGTGTTTCATGAGTGTCCATTTTGGACCCCAGAACAAAGAGGCAGCAGCCACCAGGGTCATAGTCTACTCATGGAAGACGTTGCAAGCTTCCACAGGATATTCCTCTGCAGATGTATGCTATAAGCTCTACTCGCATTCCACTGGTAAAAAAAATTCCATGGCCAACCTTGACATCCATGGCACAGGAAAATAAACTCTGCCTTTAGTTTAAAGAATGGCTGTCACATGGGAAAAGGTATAGATACAGAGAAGGGTGAAAAGCTGGAAACAATAATTCAAAGGACCACATATGCTAAACCTTTAACACATATCACACAACCTGAAAAAACCGGTATGTAGTTGGCCCTATTATTACTTTAATTTACAGATAATGAAATCATGGCTTAGAAAAGCTAGGAAACTTATCCAATTAATTATGTTAACAGTGACCATGATAAAGCTCTAAATGTAGTTAAACCTTAATATAACCCCAACAGCACAAAATATTTACTCAAATCTCTGTAAGAGGCTTTGAATAGTATTACAAGGCATGTTACCTGAGCTACACCCTCTGGATGCCCTTGTTCACCTGCACCTGAAATCTTCATTCCTCCAGGTGGCCGTTCCCAGCCTCTCTTGTTTGTGTTTCCAGATATACACACAAAACAAATTCCGGCAGCACTTGCTTTTCTATCTCAGAAAGAACCTTGGGCCAAACGTAGCCTTCTACCCATTTCCTTCTCCAGTAGGGACACCTATTAATATTAGAAATTCGTTGGCATTTCTTAAAATAATTGAAAATAGCAAAAGTGTAACTAGACAAATTGCTAGGTCCGTCATAAAGAAGGTGTATATTTTGCGACTCCTACAACCTCCTGATTCTTACCAAAAAACCTGCTCTTCATTTTCCAACTTTTACGGGATTCTGAAAACAAGTTGGACTCCCTCAATTTTCTAAGTGCTGATAGGTTGACCTTCACTCCCCTCACTTCTGACCCCCACTTCATGCCATTTCTTCCCCTCTGCCTTTTCCTTCTATTTTACCTCCTCCTTCTACTTCTAGTGTGAATCAAGTCTGCAACCTGACTACCTGTATTGTAAATTTTTTGGAATGTTTAAACAACCTTTGTGTAGTCATCAGGACCCAAACCAAGAGATTTCATCTCTCCTCCCCTACATATTCTCAATCCCCGGATCACTAACTCACTGAACCAAGACGAGTTGGGATATCTTTAAAGGCATTGTTGTGTTTGTTTGGTATCTTATGGAGATTCTTAACATTGTACATTGATGTAGATTGGATGGGCCTCAGAGTTCAAGAGAATAGTGATGATTATGGCCTAGTTTAGAAACTGCCTGATGATATTTCCTGACACAGGGCTCATTGAGGAGGGCATCTCAGCAGATAATGCTCAGCAGTGCCTTGCCCTGTGGATTGATGGGTCAACCTAGAAAGTAGCACTTTAGAGTGTTTGAAGGACCACTTGGCCTTTCTTTGCCCTCTGTGAGGTGCTCCTGGATGTGGGCAGAGGCACCTGATTTTTCTCAAGGGCCTGTTCTCTTCCAACCTCTGACTTCCACTTTCATCAATATTACCCATTTTAGTTTTGGTTGACTGTAATATTTGTCTATTTTTGGATTGTGAAATAATAGAACATTGGATCCCAACCATTATTAGCATAGTAACACTGGAAAATACAAAACTAATTAAATGTTTTAGAACTTAATCAGAGGCAAGAATGGATGGTGGACATGATATATAGATTTCATCTAGATTCTAGTTTTTGTTTACAAATAAACTTTCTGTAACATTCAAAAATTTATTTTATTAATTTTAATTATAAAGCCTTTTAATTAAAATGAAGTCTCATTTAGTTCATTTAAATTACATGTATAGCAATTAGACACTTCTCTAACTTCTTGAATATAATGGACCTTTGCCTAATACATAGTTTCTCAGTTGATGTTTCCTTCTTTTTATAATGTAATAAAGCAACAGTGTATCTGTAGCCACAGCTACAGTTATCCCTGTGTCTTTTATTTAAAAATGGAAAGACTTGCCCATCTGTTATCTCTGTAATACAAACTCTTCTTCCTTAAATAATTATTTTTTATAGATGAGTTGATTATTTTATCTTGGGGGAATTCTTTAGCAGTCAGTTGCAAGGTGAGCTAGGGTTGGCTTTTGGTAAAGCTTAAATGTTATTCCAGCTTCTAACAGAGAGCAAGAAGACCTAAACAATTTTCCCAAAGCCCAAATTCACAGGAATCACAACTTTGCATTTGTTTCAAAAGAAGACATGTAACTTTTCCTTACAATAAGCACACAGAAGTGTGGCTTCTTCCTTATGTACTTTGTCATTCAAAATAACAACAACAAAAAAAGAACTTTGGAGATCTTTGAATTTGTGTAACATGGACATTCTTCAAGTTGCTCAAGTTCTATAAATTTTAAGAGTCATTCACAGTAGAAGTGAGTAGGCAATCATTAGGACATCTGTTAAATAGTGTCCACAGTTTTCTTTGAATTATTGTTGATTTGCTGTGCCCCAGATCTGCATGGTAATAAGATATTCACACACTTTTAAGTATTTTAAAACATTATACTTATTATTCATTGAAAAATCGAGTATCAATCTAAGTGAACTTTCCCCAGCTTTGTCATTTCCAGGAATAGTTACTACTCTGAGAGTAGAAGATTCTCCACTGTTGTTTTATGAAAGTTCCTTTTACCTAAAAATTCATGATGTTATCATCTAGGCCTCTTAAATCAGTTCTGGCCTCCTGCCTCAGCTGTGACCAGGTAGGTAAGCAGGCCAGGGGTGGGAGATGGCAAATAGGAGCCAATCAGCTCTCGTCGTAGTGGCTGGCATTGCCTACACTTTTCTTTTTTTAAACCAAGCTTTCTATGTTTTCATGATGATGGCAGGAGTCAGGCCATTAGAGTCTGCTGAGAGAACTTGGGATGATCACACACACTGCACTGTTCTCCACCTCTTTCTGGGTTAGGAGAGATTTCAGCACAATTTTAAGAAAAAGCCTCTCTGCTCTGTAGTGAAATCCAAAGGCAGCTCTGAAAATCTCAGATTCAAAATATCATCCCTTTTCCCGTCTTTCAGAAGACTTTGCTGGCCCTCTAATCCTTCGGGAGTCTTCTACTCTACTCTTCTTTAATCAATTCAAGAAAAGATTGCTGAATTTTTTTAGTTGCCGGTGAGATGCAAGTAAAACCCAGAATAGCTAAAATATAAAAAAGAGTGACAACATCAAGTCCTGCCCGTGCTGTGAAGCAGCTAGAGCGTTTCTATGTTGTTAGAACCAATGCCCTGTTTTCCTGCATTTTCATTTACATTTGCATATGGACCTACTTTTTAATTTGATGATTCAGAATAAAATAACTCCACTTTTAAAAATTCATTTGCTACATCTCTTCACACCCAATTCCAATTATATTTTCGACTCAGTAAGTAAAAAACAAAATACAGGCACAGCAAAAGAATGAAAGTAGATTCAGCTTGCGTTTGGTATTAGAGAAGAAAAAATGGCTTCCCTCAAGCCCCCTAGATTCTTTGGCTGAGCTGTGAATTTCATTGATACGAAACAGCTTAAAATGAGAAAAACCATTTTAATTACATGTGTGCTCACATATGCATGCAAGTCCCACAAAAATGTGATACTCAAAAAAGAAGGATATAATTGTGATCGAGAGACCAAAATAGATGCCCCTTTATCAATTAAGATGAGTCCTAGGGTTAAGAAAACAAAAGCTACCTATGGCTGGAGGTTTCTGGGCTCAGCTAGCAAGGCAAGTTTCTAAGTTCCTACAACTACAAGAAAAAACACACCCTTGCTAAACTTCCTAATCATAGAAGCCATCAGGCTGATTTACAACCCAGACCACTGCAACTCTGATTGGCCAGAGGACCGTCCTTACAAACATTCTTTTCTAATAAGCTGTTTCAGACCTCAAGCCAGCTTTAGCTACTTATAAAGGCTATGCACATTGCTTTTCTGTCCTGTAATTCACCTTTGACACAAAAATCAAATTCCACCTTATTTTAATACTAAAACCTGGCCCCAAAATGAACATAGACTCTATGGTTATGTATATGTTTACCCATTGCACCTGCACTCAGCTACCCTCATAAACATATATAGCTTTCCCTCCAAACATGCTGAATATGTGTGATACTGGCCCTGTGAGGCATAAAATCCAATCTGTCTTTCCCCTCTTCAAAGAGAGAGAGCACCTTCTCTCCATGCTGGAGACTTTCTCTTTCTACCTGCAAATTGATATCACCAGTAAAGCTGTGCTTTCTATTACTCCATCCTGGTAGTCTTTTGGATGACAGATTGAAGCTCAGATGGCAGCATCCTGAGTGAGGTACAGAAAGGAATAGAGGCCTGGGGCTTCTGAGGAGTGGTGGAGACAAATTGTTGGAGGGGGAGGAGGAAACGTATGGTGAATAAAGATTGCCTTGTTATATAGATAAAAGTATCTCAGACGATAAAAGTCATCTCAGAGCAGCTCTCTTCCTGATACAGACACTTTTACTAATAAAAGTTTCCTTATAGATGTAACTTTCTTTTGCAAAAGAACAGCTTTTCAGTGCTGCTTCTGTGTCTGCAGTTTCTCAAAATAACCGACTTGAAATAATCTATATACTAAACAGGTATATTATAGCATGGCATATTCTAGTCTCCTGCAGTCATGTTTTAGGGTGGCATGTCCTGAACCCCAACACTAATATATTTGGGATTGTTTAGGACTCCACCTTTGAGCAAAAAGCAATAGAAAGTTTTATTCAAGGTTTTTTATTGTTCCTCCTCCTCTGTCAGAGCAACTTTGCCAGCTTTATTTTCTGCAAGGTATTTCCAAGGACAATTTTTTTTTTTCCAGACAGAGTCTCGCACTGTCGCCCAGGCTGGAGTGCAGTGGTTCAATCTCGGCTCATTGCCACCTTTGTCTCCTGGGTTCAAGCAATTTCCTGCCTTAGCCTCTCAAGTACCTGGAAATAGAGGTGTCTGCCACCATGCCCAGCTAATTTTTTATATTTTTAGTAGAGAATATATTTTATTCACTATGTTGGCCAGGCTGGTCTCAAACTCCTGAACTCATGATCTGCTCACCTCAGCCTCCCAACGTGCTGGGATTACAGGGGTAAGCCACCATGCCTGGCCAAGTGCACCTTTTTAGGAAGTCAGAAGTGATATCTTAGCTTTTTCTTCTCGTTGATCAGGAGATATGGTCTTCAAGTCTCCTGAGGGCTAAAAGGGATTACGTGAGGATATGGTAGATTTCTTGGGTCTTTACAGCTGAATAATATGGCCATATGTGAGCATTGTCTACATAGGTTTGCCATCACATGAACAGGGTGCCTGAGTATGCTGAAACAGAAGAAAGTCTCTGTGGTCATTACCAGTGTTAATAAAAAATGTTCCCTGTTTTCCTTCTAGATCTGGATGTCAGGTATAGTCACATATTATCTGATTTAGCCAAGGACATGAGAAGTGATTCCAAGTTACCTATGGGAGAAAGCTTTAAGAGTCGGTGTGAAATTCCCCATTCTCTCTCTTGCCATTTGCCAGGGTGGCCAGAAATATTCCAAATAGAGGCTCTTTTGTCAGCCTGGTTCCCAGCATGAAGACAGTGCTGAACTCAGCCCCCAGCTGACCCATGATGGACATGTAGTATGAGCAATAAATTAAACCTTTGATGTTTTAGCCCACTGAGTTCTCTTTGTTTTTGTTACTGCAGCATAACCTAGCTCATCCTGAACTTTACAGATGGGTCCCATAATTGGTGTCTGAAAGACCAATTTTATTAACATGGTTCAAACAATAGAGCTTCATACACCAGAGAGCACAATCATTCTCAGGAGACAAATGGGGCTGGAAAGACACCTGATGATTCAGAATCCTGGGGCACAGAGGAAAAACATCCTTCCTTGTCCTGCCATTCTTTGCCAAACTCCCAAGCACAAGTGAATCATGGTTCAGTGACTCACTGTGTGAATAGGGTCACAGAGAATCCCTAAACCCTTGCATTTCGTATCAGGAGTCCAGAAATCTTTTAGGTTGCCCATGGCTGAGGGATTTGAGGATTTAGTGGAGTTTTCTGGTAAATCATAATTTATTCTAATTTAGGTTTCAGCGCAACGAGGTGCTTCCTACTATGCCTGATAAGGAATGGAACTGGCTCACTGTAGATGTAGTTGTTTAGTAATAGCTGTAGATATTATCCTTTCTAGGCCTTCTATTCTCATTTGTTGTTTTTTTTTTTTTTTTTTTTTTTTTTTTTGAGACGGAGTCTCGCTCTTGTTACCCAGGCTGGAGTGCAATGGCGCAATCTCGGCTCACCGCAACCTCCGCCCCCTGGGTTCAGGCAATTCTCCTGCCTCAGCCTCCTGAGTAGCTGGGATTACAGGCACGCGCCACCGTGCCCAGCTAACTTTTTGTAATTTTTAGTAGAGACGGGGTTTCACCATGTTGACCAGGATGGTCTCGATCTGTTGACCTCGTGATCCACCCGCCTCGGCCTCCCAAAGTGCTGGGATTACAGGCTTGAGCCACCGCGCCCGGCCTCATTTGTTGTTTTTAAGATTAAGAATCTAATATCTAGAAAAGTTAAGTGACCATGTCATAACTGAACAGAAAATAAGTGGCAGAGTCTGGCTTGGAAGCCAAGCCCCGAGTCCCTATTAAAAGACTTCTGACACACATGCACATAAGGGTGTGTTTGCTAGGAGCCAGTACAGAAACAGAAGGTGGGTTATTCCTACTTGCGGTTCTCTCAACACCTTTTGCAAGTGATCCCAATCAGGCCATGAGGGCTATTTGCACCAATGTGTGGTTGGGTTACCTACCTAAGAAATAAGTTAGAAAGTTAGAGAACTAAGGAAAGAAGATAGAGAAGTGAACATCTTTTACCTACAAGTGAATTTACACTTCAGACTTCACTGGCTACAGCAGAAAAGAGTTTGGCTTTAGTTTCCAGGCAGATTCACATTTGTAGTGAAATCTAAGATGTATGAACCTTATCTCAGCCACTGCTAGTTACCACTGGAGAAACCATGCCAGAGTGAAGGACAAGATGAGGTCAGGAACCTCCCAACAGATTAAAGACATAAGGTCAGCTCTCAGGTCTCAAGAGAACTGCTGTAAATGTTGAGTGACTTATAGCCACTGACTTGGATAAAAAGAAAATTGGCTGGCTTCCCCCTCTGCTAATCAGTGAGCCTGTGTGTCATGAGCTGCCTGGAACAGGGGTGGTGAATGGGGAGGAGAGTTGCAGAGACCAGCTCTAAAGAGGGAGGCAACAGGTAATCCACAATTCTGAAGGTCTCTTACTTTACACATCTCCCAAAGTCTTTGCCTCTCATTAGAAATCTAGCTTTTGTTCTTCCCTATATCTGCTCAGAGGATGAAATGACAAAGATTAGAAGTCACCAAAAGTAGAATGGTTGAAAGGGAATGGTGCACGTGAACATTTATTACATCCAAATAGTTCTTACCTGAGAAGTTAAGATTTCATTGTTTAGGAAGATCTCATTTCTATTTGTGTAGGTGTCTACTTTTTAATTCACCTTGATTCAAAATAAAATAATTCCAATGATTATTTTGTCTTATTTATGTTATGTACTTCCAATTATTTGTATGGTTTAGTAACTAAAAATCAAAATGTACACTCTCTGCCAAATGGTGAAAGTGGACCCAGTCTGTGTTTAGCATATACTCTGTATATCTTTATTACTGGATCACTTTTACTCTGAACTTGAATCCCACAGGAATACAATACTGGGAGATGTTTTACACTATTTGAACACAGGAGAAGTGCTGAAAACATGAAATGAAAACCGGAAACTTCCCCAGCAGTGAGAGAGAGGCTGTCTGGATTCCTGCTTACCCTTTCTGTCACACTTATCTCTGGAGGCTTTGTAATAACATCTGTCACTCCAAACACAAACCTCCTTGAGGCCCAACTTTTCCCAAGGAAAAGTTCTCTGGGGTGTGCCAACCTGGGCTGGTTACTGATTTCACCACCTTGAGCTTTTCAGACAAACTTCACAATCTCACATGATGGGCCCAACTGAGACCAAAAGAACAAAATTGTACCATATGACAACATTTTTAAAAACTATATAGTTTCTTTCTATAAACAGACCAAGAGGAAGAAGGCAGAATTAATGAGAATAAGGTAAGATAATCAGAGGAGACGAGGGACCCAATGACAGATGATGGCCAATTCCAGTATGCGAGAGTAGTTCACGTATTTTTAACAGCACTGTCGGCTAATACAATATTAAGCTGTTTTCTGTTCTATATTATGTATTTTCTCCTGTCCTACCATCATCCTAACTCTTTGACACAATTCTTTGGCCTTAGATGAGTGGTACTTCTAGGAAACAGATTAAATCGATTGGCATATGGGATAGCACAGAATGGAGGAGCATGAACATCAGCCAATGGTTGTGAGGTAAGAGAGTTCAAAAATTAACTAGAAGCAGAACACCGCAACAAAAGGTGACTCAGAGAAAGGTAATCTGAACCACCACCTCCCCTCTCCCACCATGGAAGAATTTCCAAATATACGGACGGGACGGTAGGGGCAAAGGAATTTGAGTTTAGGGCATCCTTTTTAAATGCTGTGGGACAGGGTAACACCTGCTCTCTCAGCGAAGTTGGGGGTTATCCAAAGGAGACCTTTGCTGTGTATTTGTACTGAACCATCATTTTCTTTATTTTTGGAGACAAGTAGAATGCACACACATAATCCAACAGAAAGTGAACCTTATTGGCCCTGCCGGTAAACAAAGACCATCTAAAAGAAACTATGTTTTGGATTACCCTGTATATTTCAGCTCACCTTGATATTCTGCAGATCTTTGATTTCACTTTGGATCCTGTGAGCTTTTGGCTTCCAAATATTTATTTGCATTTTCTTTGTTACCTAATGTGAGAGCCAAACGCAGTGAGGTTTATGAACAAGCCATTTTACCTTTAGGATTTGGGGATGAGGAATAAAAATGCTAAGTGGGTTAAACTCACCTGAAGGACCCAAGCTTATGCTTCAAATTGATTGAGATTTTACAAATCACTCACAGAAACTTAAATAATTAAGGAGAGATCCCAGAGGTACAGAGCTGGAGGAGTGGTGGGGAGCCAAGCACAGTCATTTAAGGATGTTGGGTATGTGGCCAGGCAGACCTTTATTAAAATCCTTGTTCTTATTTATCATGCTGTCATATTGAAAACCTCTCTGAGTCCCAGTTTATTCCTCTGTAAAGGGTGAAATAATGCCCAGATTGGTCTTCTGTATGTAATAAAATGCATTTGGCACCATTCCTGGTGTAGGGAAAGTACTCAACAATAATAGCTGCTATTTTATTATGTATAATGTAATAATGATTATTATTATTTAATTCATGCCCCTCCTTTCATGGTGAGAAAATTTAGGCCTATGGAAGCTTGATGGAGGCCACATAACTTGTAATTAGAGCTGGAATTAGATATCCCAACTCCACGTCCTGCTTTCATTCAGTGAGTTTGTCAGATTTCTCACAGCTCTTGCCAAGCTGCAGTTCACTTTTGTCTTGCAGGTCTGTGTGACCTGCCAGGGAGAAAAGGTGATGCAGAGATGTGGCCAAGTGGGTCTATGGAGCAGTGGATGGCTGGGGACATGCCGTGTTGGTGAACTCACTGTGCAGGCTTCCTGCCTTTCCTAGTCTGCCCTTCCTGTCGAAACCAGGCACTCTCACCTGGAAACTATGCATCCTTCTTGACCATGATGCTCCACCAGTGTTCCAACCCGACCTATGGCTCCTGCAGCTGTTTACCTGCCTCAGACCTCGACCTAACATTTTCTGATGAAGGAAAGCAGTGTGATGTAGTGGAAAGGACAGTCAGGTGAGAATTGAGAAATACCTGTTTCTAGTTCTGCTATACTCTTCAACCAATGAGCACTAGAGATAATTTAACCTTTCTGGACTAGAGTTTATTTCTCTAAAAAATGAGGGGATTCAGTTAAGAAATCTCTCTTCAGCATGAATTTCTGAATCTATTAAAAGAGAAGCAATGAATACCTGCTAAGTAGACAAGAGGGGTCTAACTGAACTGCCGTCTGATGTTTCACTGTTTTGTGAAAATGGAGAAAAGGCAGAGTAGTTGATTTTTTACACAAATAGAAATTTGTTATAAATTTTAAAATTCTTTTAAATATGATCATTGGCTAACCTTTACAAAATAATAGGCATCTGTGCGTCTTTTTTTTTTTTTTTTGGTGGATTTTTGTGTAGCAAGTAAGTAATTTCCCACATAAAATGAAGATACTAGCTTTTTTGTTTAGACCAGGGTTTTTCAACCTCAGAACTATTGACATTTGTTGTGGATGCTGTCCTATGCATTGCAGGCTATTTGGCTGCATTCCTGGCCCACTGCAAGTACATCCCCTTCCTGCTATGACAACCAGACTACTGTGACAACCAAATGTATCTCCAGACATTGCCAAATTCCCAGGGAGTGGGGTGAAATAAATACACCCCCTAGTTGAGAACCTATCTGAGAACCTGCTTTCAGCACATGTATATGTTAATTTTAATGGAATGCTTCTGTGCTCCAAATCAATGTATTTTGATGGTATTAGTCAGGGTTGCAGTAACAAACAAATTTCCACATGGTGATTCCTTAATGGAATAAGTTTGTTTCTTGTTGCATGTCAATTGCCCTCATGTGGTGATTGAACAGCCTAGGCTGCTTCCATTTGGATTCCATTATTACAAGGCCTCCAGAGCTCTGGAGACCCTTTAAGAAAGCACACAGAGAATTCACACCTACTCTTGCAGGATTTGGCCCAGAAGTGACACGCTGACTTTATATCCACAGAACATGATGAGATTTGGTCCTATGTCTCTATTCAACTACAAGAAGGCTGAGGGAACACACCCCATAGACACAAGAAGATTTGGAGAACAGTGCTATGTCTACCATATCATTTACACCTTGGAGACTTGGATACATATGGTGGAGGCCCAGAGGGAAGTTTCCATTTCTCTGTCATCTTTTACCTTGGGAGAGGCTACTAATAACTAGAGCAGAGAATATACACAAGTTCTTCATTGTGCTTTATGATTTACTCTTTATTGAATAGATGCTAATTCAAATCATCATATTTTAGTTGCTCAACAGTTATTTTGTAAAGTTTGACTCCACTCTTATTTCTTTGAATTAAGGTCTCCAGGAAAGCCTAGAATATAAACAATTAAAAATTAGCCTGGAGTGGTTATAGAGGGATGAGTACTTTATTCTCCTAAGACTTCAAAGACACAGTGTCTAGTAGGATTATAGAGAAGTTTGCAAACCTGTGATCTACATTCTAAAGCACTTTCTCTGAACAAATATAACCCAACTGATCTTGTTGTAATGGCTATTACATTGCTTGGAGAAAGGCAATGGGGAGGATGTACAGGAGCGTCCCTCTCCACAGGCTAGGAGAGCTCCAATTTTTCTCTGAGCCCCATCAGTAAAGTTGTTGGAATTTCAACTGCTCCAGGCAGTCACTTGTGGTGGAGGAGACTGAGGAGCATGAGACCCTGGTGCTTTTATTGACATTCTTGCCTCATGTCCCAAACCTCACACCATCCATTGCCACCTGAATTATAGTTCCTACTCCTCAGTATGTCTCTATCAGCATGAGTTGCCGAAATTTGCATTGCCTCTTTCCCAGGCCTTGGAACACCAATGGACTGCCTCAGAAACTCACATTCTCCTTCTATACCTGGAGGGATTAAGGCAGGTGACCCGAGGCCATATGGAAGCAATTCTTCCCTCAATTTCCAGCACGGATTTGCTTCCACCTTCCTGGCTTGGCTCTATTAATCTTCAACTCTTCCCATAAATGGGTTTTCTAGGTTGGTTCTGTCTTTATGGTCCTTCTCTTTTGGGGAAGCACTAGCAACAATATCATTTGGTGTCATTAATTAAAAAGTGTCAAGCCACTTGCTTGTTGTTGAAAGTGGTAATTTATTTTCACTGATACAAGTTTAAAGGATCTTAGAATTTGGTGAAGAAAGAATTTGAGGACCTGTGCTAAGGCAGCATCTATAATGGTTTAAGAGGACAAATTTGGGTGCCACATTGCTTTGGTTCATGACAACTGCTTGAATTTGAACACATTATTCGAGTTGACTGCCTTCATTTCCTCATCTGTAAAATGGGAATAATATTAGTACCTACTTCTCCTGATTGGGCCATGATAATAACTCTTAAAAGAGTTACATTTGTAAAACATTTAAAAAGGCACCTAGCATGTAGTATATGCTACATACATGTTGTTAAAATAGGTAGATAGATATATTGATAATCCCCATTATGATGGAACTCTGCGATGCAAAAAGAATTTGCTATATCCTGGAGAATCCTCAACAAAAGGCCCATTTATGATTCTACAAAGATAACAGAGGCCAACTAGAAAATCCTAGTTAGCTGCTAAAGCAGATGTCAGGTTGTGTTTGCCAACTTCAAAATTTAAAAGTGAATTTTCTATTTGGCATTCTATTGTAAGGAAGAGCTTTCCCTTCTCCAGAATGAAGGATTTTGACAATCCCAATATTGTAAAACTTATCAATGGATACTAAAAAATTAGGTCAAAGTCTGATGAGAAAGAGGACATTTACCTAGTCTTAAATTATCTTTCTAGATTTTATGTGTTGATTACAAAATGAAGCTTAGTAAGTTATCAGTGGAAAAACCTGGTAGACACCACAGTAACTAAGTAATCAAAGCTGACATCACTAACAATGGAACCAACTGACCTTTATGTTTTGATAGGATGTAATGAGAACATTACAAATGTAATGATTGCTTGTGTAAGATTCCTGTCAAACTTTCGTAAACTGACCTAATCCTAGGAAACATCAGATCAACCCAGATGAAGAGACAAGTTATAAAATAACAGTCTTCTGTTCATCCAAGATGTCAATATTATGTAGACAAGAAACCATTGAGGGACTCTTTCCATTTAGTCTCTTAAAAAAGACTAAAATAATAATGCCATAGGTAATCCTGGACTTTGGGGGAGGCTTAGCTATTAAGGACAATATTGGATCAATTCATGAAATTTGAATATGGATTCTAGATTATATGATATGAATTATGTTATAAATGTACTAATTTTGATAATTACACTTTGCTCATATAAGAGTATGTCCTTGTTCTTAGGAAATACATAATTGCCAAATGGTTCTGAAAAAATTTACAATATATATATATACTTATTTCTTGTTACAAGGCATGACAACTTTCTTTCTTGTTCCAAGGCGATTGCCCTTCATGTGGTGATGGAACAGCCTAGGTTGTGTGTGTGTATTGAAAGAATTATAAAGTAAATGCATGAAAATATTGCAACTGGGGTATCTGGATGCCAAGAATATAGAATTTCTTGGTACTATTCTTGGCATTTTTTGGTGAATTTGAAATTGTTTAATATAAAAAAGTAAAAAACTTACAGAAGGATATGTTGTCCCTCTTGCTTCCAGAAAAGGTATATTTGTTACTCAGCTCTTAGGGGCAGCATGAACTTAGTTCATTAATATGGAAATTCAGTAGGTGCCTAAGAGCACAGATCCTGTGAGGAATTAGTAAAGAATAAAAATGGTGCTCTGCTTTGGGTTTAGAATCTATAAAGAAAAGGCTTTTAAGTAACCTCCTGGAGGCCTGAGGTATTTGCTGAAAACTTTCCAGATGCAGTTTTGTTTTGTTGAATTAAAAGATTTTTCTGGGAGTTTGCCCCATGCATGAGGCAGGCATGGGGCTTTTCTGCTGGTGGCTATTAGAAACATGTCACACCAGAGAAAATCATCCCAGGTGATGGGATTGTTGGTTTTAATTATAGATAGAGTAATATAATAATATTCTTAAGAATTTGTACTAAGTGCCTTCATTCAGAGGTATGCCAGATGTGGGCTATTTGTATGCCTGGCACATTTACCTTCTCCCTGGCTGTGCATGAAAAATTCAGTCTCTTATGAGGACACCAGGGCATATTCACTTACCATGTGCTGACTCAGCAAATGTCCTTAGCAGGTACTCTGGTTAAAGCCCTGAAAAAAGAGAAGATAAAAAACCTTTTTTTTTTTTTTTTAAATAGTTTCTTCTGGAGTATACAAGAGAAGGAAGGGCTCTATAGCTGAAAAGGCATTTGTTTCATGAGCCAGAGGTTGGTAAATGTATCTAATTTTAAAAATACAAGCAATTTCTGTATTTCTCAGAGGAGAAATAAATTTTGGGGGTTATGGGAAGAGGGATTTCCTGGGCAGAGAACTGCCAGCAAGTAAGATTGTAGAGAACTGTGTGCACCCAGGTTAGATGTTGCAACCTGGTTGCAAGTAAGGCCATAATTATTTTCTTTTCATATAACTCTGGCTGGTTCAGATATCTCAAGTGACTGCCCAATATTTCTCTAGGTAAACACTACCCATGTAATACAAATTTCTGGCCAGTATCAGAGAAATAAACAAAAAGGTTTTCCTTTGTTAAATACGTGGATAAAGAATACTATCCTAAAATTAATTATCTTCATACTTTTTCAAAAGTTCACTGAGAAAGTTATTTTATTAAAAAGTTTCGAGCAAGTGTGATGCCTCTAACATTGTTTTTCTTTCTCAAGATCACAGGATTGTTTCAGCTATTTAGTTTTTGTGTGTGTGTGATTTGGATTTTAGAATTTTTATAACAAAAAAATTTTTCTGTTGCAAAAAACGCCATTGAAATTTTGATAGGGACTATACATCAGTATATCACTTTGGGTAATATGAACACTTCAGCAATAGCAATTCCGTCTATGAGCATGGGAAATCTTTCCATTTATTTGTATCTTCTTCAATTTCTTTCATCGGTGTTGTATAGTTTTC